CATAAAATATCCTCAAAAGATAAACACCACCACGCTGTAAATGGTAAATAATCACACAAGAATCTTGACAATGACAAATGTTAACGTTGACGTGAAGTTGCCATGTCTCTTTAAAATATGTAGGTACTGTAGCGCCATCTGTGTATTCGAAGAAACTAAAATAAATTTCAAGGTCGCCAATATGAGATAAATATCTATATGGTTTTTGTCTATGTATTTAATGATCAAAATTGTACAGTTTACCAAAAATAGCTGAAAGTCTGAAAATAACCACGCCCATGATGCGCATTCGTCATCCGACGGATATCGCACTGGGCGTACACTAAAGGTCGATTCAGACACATCAGTCCCGTCATAGTCTCGGCACCGAACCGGTCCTGTTTGGTCACAGAACTATCAACTATCTGACAGCTGAGAAACTGTTTGTCAACTGATGAGTGTAAATGCCGGCAACATATTTGTATGACGGATTGTTCGGTTCGGCGCAATCACTGTGACGAGACGTGACTGATGTGTCTGAATCGACCTTTAATATCTACCGTTTATGACGTGAACAAGTCGGTACAGTCAGCGAAACATTTTTTGTAAGTACGAATCGCAAAGGAGAGTCATTTCCAAATTTGCAAATCTGTGTTGTGTACCTATATTAAACATCGAATCTGAAGGGAAAAAGTTTTAAATAATCAGACACGAGAAGTCATAGCAAATGCGATTCATTTTATGAGAAAGGAAGCCAAAGACAATAAACCATGTATAGATTTGAAAAAAGTGCAGGAGCGTGTGGTATTGGTAACAGGTGTTAGTTTAAGCAGCGTTCAAAAAATTGCTCGGGAAATGCAATTAATTGAAGACGGCGAATGTTCTTCATTTGTAACTCCAAACAAAAAGAGGATAAAATGCGCTTCAAAAACGTGCTTGGACGATTTTGATATAGGGCGTCTTCGACGTAATGTGTATAACACAAAAATAAGTGCCAACTGTGAAACGCATACACAGAACATTTGCAGAGGAGTACAACTACTCAGGTTCCATAGAAAGCCTACGAACAGTAATTAGAAAGATAGGATGTCGTTGGCGAAAACCAGAACTATAGTGTATTTTTATGTATGAGAGAGTAATAAAACAATAAATTATGTATGCAAATCCCTAAACTGTTGATACGGGTGACTCAATGAAAAACAGATATTTGTCAACAAGTTTACAGAAGTATATAGGAAAACAATTTTAAATTAAGTATGACCACCAGGTATAAAGGTTGGAGCAGAATAGAATGCAATAGTTGTGAGGGTTACTAATCCCTAAATAAGGTTGCCAGTGTCGGAGTGATGGAGGTTAACAGGTACTAGGTAATGAATTTGCAAGAAATGTAAGATGTTTATTTTATTGGTTATATATAACCAATAAAAGTTTAATAAGTACCTACCCATTTGCAAAATAAAGTTTAATTCTTTAGATAAAATAAAACGTTTTATTTTATCTGAAATGAGTGCATTCCACGAAGTAAGGGTTTCAACAATCAAACATTTAATTCTTTAATTCCAGGAATCTACGACAGTAATTGACTAGATAATTACCTTCTAAACTTATTCCACAGAAAATGTGATAGTGGGTTTTTCCATTTTGTAGAAAGGTCCAAGTGGCGTATTCAAAATTCTTAACAGTTCACTAAAAGTAGGTACTTCAGTTGCAAGGTGCAGTTTATTGTGTATACTAGTGTTATGGAAAATTTGGAAGTGCCGTGTAAACGCCGAAAAATTGGTCCTTTAACAGTTAATGAAAAAACATTAATATTTAATTGTTTTAAATCATTTACAGACAAACGTTTATGTGAAAGTGTTGATGAGACCGTTGAGTTAGTTAGCAGTACACTTTGGTGTTGGGAAATCTACGATTTACAGAGTTATTAAAGAAGAGAAATGTGGTAGTTTTCAAATGCCACGTAATGCTCCAGGGAAACCAAAATTTCAAATAGAATATCATTTTAAAGAAGGACTTCGACGGAAAGTGCATGAATTCTTCTTTAGGCAAGAATTTCCAACATTGGATAAAGTTCTTGTCTCAGTTCGAGATGATAAGGATTACTCAGAAATGAGTCGAAGTACGTTATGGAAACTTTTAAAAGAAATAGGCTTCCGCTGGAAAAAGAATCCCAGAAAGTCTATTTTATTAGAAAGAAGCGATATTGTCATATGGAGAAGACATTTTCTAAGAACCATAAAAGAAATGAGAAACCAAAAAAGAAAAATATTTTATCTTGATGAAACATGGATCAACGAAGGTCAGACACCAAATAAATTTTGGCAGGATGAAACTGTTACAAGTCAAAGGCACGCTTTTGTAAATAACTTATCTACTGGTATAAACCCACCATCAGGAAAGGGACGCAAGCTGATAATAGTACACATTGACAGTTCAGACGGTTTTTTGAAGGTGGTTTATTAACTTTTGAATCAACTCGTACCGGTGACTACCATGAAGACATGAACGCTGATGTCTTTCAAGAATGGTTCGAACAAATGATAGATCTTCTTCCTAAGATCTGTGTAATAGTAATGGATAATGCAAGTTATCACTCTTACCTTCTATAAGCAGACTTATAGAAGGACTGCCCACAACCAAGTGGTTAAAAAAAGACTTGCAGAATTGGCTGAGTTCAAAAAATATTACGTACCATCCCGGATCTATAAGAAAGGAACTTTATTGTGTGCCCGTCATAAAGAAAAATTTAAAAAATACGAAATTGATGAAATTGCCAAAAATCGTGGAATGACAGTACTTAGATCCCCACCATATCATTGTGAATTAAACCCGATTGAACTGGTATGGGCACAGATAAAGAGTGAAGTTTCAAGAAAAAAATACCACTTTTAAAATTCATGATGTTAAACAGTTGTTTTTGGAGGCCGTAAATAATGTAAAACCTGAAAACTGGGAAAAGGCAGTAAATCATACTATTAAAGAAGAGGAAAAAATGTGGAAGCTGGACAATATTACTGATAAAACGATCGAGCCAGTTATTATAAATCTTGGTTCTGAAAGTTCATCTTCTGAATCTGATTTGGATTTGTAACAAGTAGCTGTAAGTTTTATATTAATATTTTTATTCATCTATTTAACATACCTTAGACGGTTTTAAAAACTCTTTTTCTCTTTTGTAATTTTTAAAAATTAAAAAAAAAATGTGAATTTTTTAAAACCCTTTTTAATGTAGGCCAGTCAGTTCTATTATAGTGTGTGATAAAAGAGGTCACTTTTGTTTACATACACATAACACTTTATAACACTGAAATAATTCATTTATTTTTTACAATTATTCAAAGTAATTTTTCAATTAATCTTGAGCACGCCCATGGAGTGGTCGGATGTACCAGTTAAAATTATGCTTATTACTCTCTCGTTCATAAAAATAAACTATAATAGAAAATTATTAATGGAAAAGCCCTAGACTGAATTTCTTACGTAGTATGAAACGTTACAGGAACGCAAATCGGCCAATTATATACATAGATGAAACATACGTCCATCCATCTCATACCTATCAAAAGAGCTTGTCTGATAGTTCAAACAAGGGCCTTCAAAAACCAGTATCTAAACTACAGATGCTTCTGATAGTGCATGCTGGAGGTGAAAGTGGTTTTGTTAAAAACGTTTATCTGCGCTACAAACCTACTATAAAAACAGATTATCATGATCCAATGAACTACGACAATTACAATAAGTGGATTCAGGATAAGCTGATACCAAATTTGCCCCCGAACAGCGTTTTATTGATTGATAATACTCCGTATCACAACGTACTAAGTGTACTACTAAGCGTACTAAGTGAGAAATGTCCAACTATGTTTTCCAGAAAAGCAGAAATGCAGCAGTGTCTGATAACTCAAAATATTTTGTTTACAGATGACATGTTGAAATTTGAAATATACGACATTATAAAATTACACAAATCTCGCTTTAAAATGTATGAAATTGACAAAATACTCGTGGATAAAGGACATTCAGTTTTACGGTTACCCCCGTATCATCCGAATTTGAATCGTATAGAGTTAGTATGGACTTCTATGAAGCAATATGTCGCTGAAAAAAATGTCAGTGTTTTGATTTTAAATTAGTGGAAGGTTTTAATATTTTATATATGACTTAATTAGGTATATAATACAAAATATCTAATTTTTTTAAGAGTTTACACTTTTTTCATACTTTGGGTAAATATTCAAAGATAAACGCCGCTTTTAACAAAAGGTACTGGTACAAAGACACCACATTATGCTTCACCGGAACCAAACATCTATATATAACCAAACATCTATATAATTTATATTAGTATTGCATTAGACGATTTTAGTACTACTTTATTACCCTACTGCTTACCTCCTTTTTCTCCGAAACCTTTTGGTCAATATAATGGTAATATAAAGTATAAATGGTCAATATAAAAATATAATTTTTGGTTTATAATGCCATAATTTATCGCAACACAAGCGGTTTTTGTTGGATCTATTTTTTTACATCTCACTTTGTAGAACAAATACCACAAATATACTGAAATATATATATAAATATTACGTTTCTATATTTGTATCCAATTGTACCTATATTTTAAAGTTCACCCGCGCGTAGAGGCTATCTTTTTCCTTCCGAGTGCATTCTCACTCCATTGTTCGCGCAGGCAGTTAGAATTTCAGACTTTCAGCTATTTTTGGCGAACTGTACATTTAAAACACATATTCAAAAGTAATGTATTTATTTAGTTTATGCAGTTATATCCACTATCTAGTTTTAGTATGTGTTAATTACTTTTTTATATAAAAGAAAATAAAGAATTAAGTTTACATCAAAGTGTCGGTCTTCAAAAAATATTGTACGTCACATGACCGAAAATTAGTGTTTTTCAGGTCTTCCCAAGTTTCCAGGACTCGCTTAAGGCTCACACTGGAATCTGCTTATCTCGATCTGAACAACTTTCCGGACTTGTAACGTAAATTACTATTTATACGAAC